AACAGAATAAATACATTACATGTATAAATATTAGTGCGCATGCCCAACATTTCGTAGCTTATTTTTGCTTTGGCACCACAGCGCCACTTACAGGCCTGGCATACATTTTGCAGCGTTTTCATGCATTCGTGTGGACGCTCACATTTATTTTACGTCTACGTCTTCACGGCAAATGTTTTGGAAAATATCAGCGTTTCGTGTTCGTTTTGACTTCGTGTGGACGGGGCCTGAATGTAGTGCTTTGGTCAAGTCTCCTGACTTAAAAAACGATATACAAACACAGGCCAATCAGGTGCCCTTTTTGCAGGGGCTTTTTGACCTTACAGTTTTTGCATATTAACTCAGACATGATTTTAAAACAGGATCCTTCTAAATTACACAAGTCATTCAGGGGTTAATATTAATTTCTTCCACAGGAGAACCTAAAAAATGAGCAGCTTAGGTGTTTCTGCTTTATACATATTCAGGTATGATAATGTAGAGGGGTTATTGGGACCAGTATTCTACTTGAACTGCAGCACAAATGGATTGGTACAGAAACCCATGTGTTAAGATGAGCCTGTGTGTGAATTTGCATGTCTGATAGAATTTCGCATAGAAGGCTGACAGTACCTAAAACAATTTAAGAATAAAATCTGTTGGAAAACTCTAGTAGAAACATGTGCAGATACAGTATTTGTTATTTTGGGGGACAATGTAAGGCCACTTGATCAGGAATATAGTATTTTGTGGGCACTAACAGGTACTTGCAGGGACCAGTTTACTGGTACCCATGAGAATAGGGTCAGTTAAATTTAGAGTTAGGTATGTCTTGTTAATGACTATGATTAGGGTGAGAGTTAGGGTTAGGCCATGGAAATGTATAGGAAATGAATGGAAAGTCCCCATAAGAATAGTGGGACATAACACTTGTCTGTGCGTGTTTTTGAATGCACTCAGCATATGGTGCAGTGGGGCTGTATGTAAATAAAAGCTCTTTAAAAATGAAACAGCAACACCAAAGGACACCATCTGGCGCAGAGTTCAGTTCCACGACTACAAGGACAAGCTTCGGGTAGGAGAACAAATGACGATGAGGAAACCAGAGAGGCATATCAAAAATGGAATACTTCAACAAGTTAAAGCTGCATGGCTCAGAGCAATGACAGGGCCCTCTCACATAGAGCAGTGTGTTACTCAAGGATAAATTCGACTACAAAGTTATGCAGAAGCTTGAGAGTACATTGTGAACTGCAGCATGTGTAAGTGGTTCATTCATGGAAAGTAATTTGGGGTCATTTGCCAGCAAGCAAAGTGAAGAATATTAGTAGACATCTGACTTTAACCTTAGATGAGCACTGTAGTTTCACTGCTGCATTTAAAGAGTGAGTTTATTCGTTCAAATCATTTAATCTACCCTCTATGAAAACTGGATCAAACAATTGTGTTGTGGTACTGACCTGAGGTTGTGTATAACATTTAAACAATATATCAAATCATATACAATAGCAACCATTCAAAATGGGCCTTCCCAGTCAAACACCAGCCAAATGCTAGCCCACTTCCCTGCAACTCCCAGCAAAATCCCCTTCAGCTTCCAGCCAAGGGAGAGACCCCCTCCTCCTGGGCATGCTTTTTTGAATGGTTACTACTGTATGCAGCTACTCTTTTCCCACTGAACCATTTTTATGTAGAAAATAGTAGATTTAAAGTTGAATTTTCAGGGGAAAAAGTGCTAAGCTAATGCAGCACATTTGGTTGAAAACAAATGCAGATGTTTGCAACTTCTAGGACATCTTTTGAATTGATTCAATGTGTCCATTAAAAGTATAATTTGCAAGAATATATTCCATGTACATAGTTAATCTTTGGGGCAGGAAGAGTCTAGAAAGTTTCAATGCTTTTAATACAATACACTATGTAAAACATTTTTTTTTTAACTTGACAAAGAGCTCACTGTTCTCCAATAAAACTTGACAGCCACCGGATCTAAATCCCAAGAAAGTCCCTTACTGATGTAGTGGAAAGAACTCAAGTCATCGATGTTCAGGTGACAGATCAGCAACAACTGAGTGATGCTATCATGTCAACTTGGACAAAGTCTCTGAGGAATGTTTTGACAACTTTTGTATGTCACAAAAAACTGAGGTCATCCCGAAGGCAAGCTTTTCCCCAGAAAGCGGCTGTTGACTAAGGCTGCACAGTGTCGGCCCATATATTTAATGTCTTATAAGCTTGCATTATACAAGATAATCAAATATTTAGCCCCACCAGCAGATGCTTACAAAGGACACAAATTACATTGCCCAGATGCTAAAGGTGACAGATTGATGAAAGCAAAAAGAAAGATAACGGGCATATACACTCTCATGCCTGATATAATCACTGTATTATTTGTTATTATTAACCAGGGCAAGATTTCTAATATGGCATAACCCTAAACAGCCAGTTGAGGAGTTCTGGCTTGATCTGGGCAAAACTAGCGTTTCGTTAAGTGTTTAAATACAGACAATAGAGCTAGTACTCCAGAAATTTCTTAACCTAACACTACACACATTTACTCATCATAGCATAGTTATATCAATACTTACTATAATGTACATCTGTTCGTCTTAAGAAGGTAACCAGCAGGAATAAAATATATTACATTTATTCTCCTTATAGTGTGTTTTCCCTTTGCGTATACTGTATAGCTGCAGAACCCATGTGTTTTTATGTCACCGATTCAAATAAACAAGAAAGAAATGAAGGATCCTCTCTTTGGCATTTGTGGCCTTTCCTCATTGCTTGACACAAACAGGGCAGACGGCAAATTGTGTTTAGTGACCTTAGCTGAAAAGAAAGCAAGGTAAGGAGCCATTAGTCCTTTATCACAGCAGGTACTAAAAAAGTTCAGCCTCTGCAGTGTTGTTCTGGAACACAGCACGCTTGTCAGACTAATGTGAATTGCCATGGCAGCATGAAACCTTGTAATAAGAAAACTCTGACCTTATGCATTCACCTCACCCTCTCAATGTAATGTCTAATCTGGCAAAATGGCAAACGTATGAGCAGTGTGACTGAAAGTATCCATATTGCAGACTAGTCTGCAAGGAAGCAGGGACAACGATTTCCAAATAGTTGAATCAATAGAAACAGCAAACATACTAGTAGGACTGGAAGTTTATTAAGTTTACTTGCTGTAAAAAAAAGTATGTCTCTAAAAAATATTAAAGGAAAAGAAATAAAACAAATAACAAAAAACTTTGTTGCAGTACTTAATTGAATCTATCTGATTGTGAATTGTTTTGTGGTGTTGAGCCTTAAACCATGACATTAGATTTGGACACTGCGGACCAATGTCCATGCTAATATTAACCTTGATTATTGCTGTAGGAGGATATATTTCTGTTCTGCTTTTGGACTGTCCTCTCTAATTTCTGCAAACCCCCCTCTCACGAAAAACTGTGCTTGAGTAAAAAGGCCTTACCTCTTAGTCTTTAATTTTGCTTTCGGCCTTCTTAAAAAAGAGGTTCATGTCGGTGAGACACCATTATGAAAGGCCACACAAGCCAAGGACCAGAGACTGCAGACTGATCTAAGGCTAAGTGGACCTGGTGGCTCATCTTAACCAGATGCTGCAAAAACAGACCTTCTGCAACATTTCTCTCTGGGTTAAGAAGAAACATTGTGATGCCAGAGACTGGAGCATTTAAGAAGAAAGGACAGCTTTCTTTCTGCACGCTGGACATGCTAAAGTGCCGAATACTGTAGACAACTCAGCCTTTTCCAAATCAGAGAGGAGTAGATCTTTGAAAAGAGTTTTTGGATAAACAATTTGGGCTTTTGTTAATACATTTCTTATATTTTCAAAGGAAGTTGTGGTGTACTGCAGTGTTTCCCAACCTTTTTTGACTTGTGTACCCTTTTTTGGCATTTTACATTACCATGAGTTACCCTTTCAGTCAAAAGCATTGTCGACCCCCACATATTTTTAATTTACTACCTAAGAAATAAAATATTTTCATGTGCCCCTTGCAATGCACTTCCGTACCACTAGGGGATACATCCGGTTTACAATCACTGGCGTATTGTATCTATTCTATATATGCGCAGAGTTACTTGTTTGATCATGATTTCAGCTTGATACATACCTTCATTTATTGTTGGGCATGTGTTCACATACAGCATGCCACCCCCCCACCCCGCCACCCCGCCACACACACACAAAAAAATTTGGACTTGTTAAATGTGGATGCAGAACAGTCCCCAAAAAACATAGAGAATAAGAGTCCAGTAGCTCTGAGAGAGAATCTTAATGCACTGATTTGTAACAGGCTTTGAAAGTTATTTATAGCACCCATTTTTATTGGCACTCTTGGTAAACGTTTCTAGAAAGCATTAACTTCATACTTTATTGCAGTAGCACACAGTCTCACACAGTCAAATCTGCAGTCCAATTTCATCCAGTCTATTTGTCACAGTTCAAGTTGTTTTAAATTGCTCCGGCTGTAAGTAAGAAAAAAAAAAAAAAAGAGTAGATGCCTTTTTGGAGTCTTCCTTGATTTATGATTAAAAGCATACATCTGCATAACTCAGATGTCCTCTTCCCAATTTCAAAAGAAACCTGGTAAAACAGGACTTTACATTTACACATCAGCAATAGCAGAAGCCAGGGATTACTTATAAAAAAGGGCCTGGGTATTCGAATACATACAATTTTGATTGCATGTTTGTTAAAACTACTGCATAAGTATAAACGTGCCATGGTTATAGATACATGAGCTCTGCAATTCCATTATAGAGGTAGAATACCTTAGGTGTGAAAGGCTATGCGCCTGCTCCTATACTTATTCAGTAGTACAGAGATAATAGTCACAAAAGAACACTGAAAATATTTGAGTCATCTCAACATCGAAGCCTTACAGACAAAGGTGAGCAAGACTAAGATGGCTGTTTTTATAAAGAGGACATTGGGTGGAAAGGTATTTAAATAAATGATTTAAATATTGTTACACTGATTTCTATTTAAATACGAGCACCGACGCTAAGCCAAAGGAGAGATGGAAGTTTCATTATACGCTTAATGAATGAGGTTTAAAAAACAAGAGCAGCAAATTAGCAAAGAAATCAATAACAGAATTAAAAAATTAGAGTTTCATGACATTTGGTAACGTGACACAGGATTATAATTTCCTGAATCTCCTAAAGTCATATTTTCCTTACTGTTCTCTTTTCTCTCAATTCCATAAAGTTCAATAAAGCTGTGTTGAAAAATGATTGTAATAGTGGATGCTGGTGTCTCCAAGTTATTATCAAAGAATGTGAGCCGATTGCCATACATAGCTTTAGAACTATAGAAAAAGATTATCTATAGCAGGTGTTGGTAGAAAGGATAGAGACAGTTAAAATGCTCCAAAGATTTCTGGTTTAGGACAGGACAGCTAACTGGGTTAAAGAAACTCTGTGAACCAAAATCCTTGTTGCTTTTTAAGTTGTAACCATAGTTACATAACTAATAATATCTACTATTTGCTATCATATTCAGCACTTAAATACCAAATAAGTTAAGCCTTGCTTCTGTAAAATAAATCATTTTATATAAGAAAACTCATGCAAAAAGTGCATTTTCTGTTTAGTTTTCTAACAGTTTTAGAATAAACATCCAGAGTTATCTGAGTTACAATATAATTTACAGGAATATGTAGTCTGGATTGGTAAATGATCAGTGACTTTAGCCTAACATCTGATCCAATAACTGATGTGGTATTAGATTGGAAATCAATTTTAATCTGCATGCTAATGTACTTTTATGGGATCTAAAATATTCCTTTAATAGATATTATTTTTATAAATAGTGTGAGCTTTATTTACCAAAACCTTATATCAAAGCAGAACTTTGACATTGAAAACTCAAACTCTTGACAATGACAATAATGGTTCAATGTACTGTGCGGCAACTCAAATACTAAAATACTTAATATCTGAAGCCCTACAAATAAGGTCAAACACATCTTTGTTATGTTCTGCTACACTGGCACATAATGGTTTGGTAAAGGCCAGAAGCAGATGAAAAAAAATAACACATGGCCTTTGCCGTTCCGGCCCATAAGATATGTGAGCATTTGCTCTAAATCACATTGTAGGAATGTCCTCAGAGAACTGAAAACAGTAGAATTGTAATGAACAAGGCCTCAGATTCTCGGCTACATAAAAAAAAACAGCTTTGAGGGTTTCAGCCTCAGCCTCCCACATAGATCCAGAAACCCTTGAAATGAGCAGCATCACATGAGGGCGTGCTCCTGCATTCGGTTCATGTGTCTGCTAAATAAAAATGTATGCTTTAGGTATTCTTTTTTTATTTATGCCCTAAACATGTGAGTCAGGTACTCTGCTAATGACGACTCTTATAATGAATGAGGCTTTCCATGGTGACGCATCCGAGTAGCTTTAAATCCCTGTTACCATGGAAACAAGGAGTTGCTGTACAGGTCTGACACAGACAATGGTGTTTTTTTTTCTTCTCCCTCTCTCTGTTGTGCTCTATAAGTCACTTTCAGTCTTTCTCCAACCCCCCCACACGCTCCATTCATCTTTGACTCCTCTTTTCCCCAAATCCTCCTCTCTTCTTTGCACTTCCTCTCTTCTGTTGCATCCTATTTCTTTGCCTTTTGCCTCATTTTCCATTCATTCTTTTATGCTCCCCTCTCCCCATCTCCAAGGCCCCCCCACACCTAGCTCACTGACTTGCTTTTCATTCACCCTGACATTTTTACCTCTCTCTCTCAATTCATTCATGTCAGCCTTGTCACCTCAAATCTCATCGCCGTCTCCCACGCCTTTCATCACTTTCACTACTTGTCATGTCCTCCTCTTTGCCTCCTTCCCTTCATCCATTTCTATCTACCTGTGGTTAATCTTCCTTCATCCCCTCTGCATCCAGTTCCATTTTCTTGTCAATTTTTTGGACTTTTATCTTTTGTTTCTAGATCTAAAAATCTAAAACCCAATGAGGTCCCATGACGTCGTATATATGCATGACTGTTGTCTTGCATTTGATATGTTATTCAGAAGCATAGTAGATGAAATCCATAATTTTATATAGTGATTTTTTGTTTACCATGGACATTGCTAAAAAACAAAGCAAAAAATGCATGCTTAACAGCACTGGGCAGAGAAAAAAATCATGAAAGGATGTAAAAACGAGAACACATTGCTCTCACCTTGCCAAAGCTGCCCTTGCCCAGCACCATCAGGAAGTTAAAGTCCGACAGCCTTATGCGATCCTGGTTGCCGTTGTTGTCGAACCTGGAGGCTGCATTTGCTGACTTTCCTTCCATGTTCTTGCCTACTGCAATTTTAGCTCTCTGGATGGAGAACAAAGACAAAACAAAAATCTGAATTAACATGTTTTTAACGGAAAGCAAAACAGAGATACTCTATTCAGCTTTTATTAGATTGAAGAGAATTTCTATAGTAGTTCAATACTCCTCAAATTGCACAAGCAAAGTAAAGGATGCAGAATCACAAAAGGCAACAACTTAAAAAAGTTCTGTTTCCAATAAAAAAATTTTTCACAGAAAATAAGGTTTATCATCATATTTTGTATAACTTCCCTTTTCACAAGGGTGTAACTTTATAATTAAATTTGGTGCGTACACTCGGGTGGGGGCTGATGGACCTACAGTTACTCAACCCAAACGCTTTGATTAGGTTTTTTTATTTAGCAAAAATGAGCTCAAACATATATTTTTTGAATGCTTTCCTATTGTTCAGAACACAAGAAAGTCATAATACGCTGATATCTATATTTATAGATAGTTAGAGAGATGTCTTTGTGCATTTTACATATATAGGGCCCAAAACATTAGTGTATAAAAAAATAACGAATAACAGCCGATTCCGATGCTAAAATGGATATATTTAGCATTCCTAGAATGTACAATTTCAATTCCAACCAGAAAAATATGGATATTCTGCATTTTAAATATAGCATAGCATATTTTTTTCTTGTAAAGTTTCTGGTAAACTTGGAGAAACATATTTTATTGGATGTTGCATATTCCAGTAAACCTTTTTCACCTTAAATCTGCAGCTCTCCTACTTCTCTCTGTGCTCTGTTTAAAAAGATTTATGAACCTCTTTACTAATATAATGATATCAGAAACAAAATTTCAAGATATGTAGAAACTCTGCAAACTGATTATGTCTGTACAATAAGGAAACATGTTCATTTTAACCTGTAACTGAGAGCCAAGAACAAGGGTAGGGTAGCCAACTCCCTGAAAAAAAAATGTTCGTGCCAGCTGACCTGATTGCCTTTACCCCTCCTGGTGTGGCGATTTTTTTTAGCCCCCCTTTGTCTATGAATTATTTTTATTTTTTTTTTACTATTTGACTCAAATCTGCATTGAATTAGATGCATATTTGCGAGTGACATGAACACATGGAAAACAAATTATTATCCAGCAATTCAATTTAATACATAATAACAAACTCTGCTGAATAAAATAAGTAACTTAAACATAAGCCTGTCCTGCCTAACTTATAATTGTAAAAATGAATATAAAACAATGAATAAATAATTGCAAAATTCTTTTGTGCAACAGAAAACTCATAAAGATATTCGTGCCTTAAATGTAATGACTGTAGGGTAGTTGTATAGCAGAAAATAAAATCATTAGCTCAATGCCACATTATGTGGCGATAGCCTACTTTTCCACTTGTATTTCCTCAGAGCTCTTGCAGCAATGAGGAACTGTGTGGAATTTGTTTGTTTAGTGCTGCAGAGTAAAGCTGAGTGCTCTGTTGTCTCCCGCTATCTTCTCCATGAGCAACATTTGGCTCGACCAATGGGATGAGGGTATTCTGGATCTTTAATTATATGATTTCAGCTCATTGGTCACAACGCAGGACAGGCCTTGGAAACAAGTTTACCGTAAGTTTTCTATCTAATGTGCCCTTGTTCTTCATTTTCTATTAGCTGTTTACTGATAATTTTTTACTCTCACAGTAATACGGGACAAAGTGCGCCTAAAGTACGTCTAAAGAGGATATAAGGTATTTTCTAGTCCGATCATGCACGAATTAAACATTTGTTTAATTCAGAGTCCATGTGCGTTAAACTTATGGAGAATGTGTGGTTTAGGCAGATGTGATATGGGGCATGCATCTTATGTACCTAAAGTGATATATTAAATCATCTTATTTCTCTCTCCTTCTTTTCCTTTCCTTACCTTTAGAAATTCACTTTAGAGGTATCATTAGTACATGTTTTTGAGTGTATTTATTGAGTGTATACTTCCACCAAGACACAGAACTGTGGCCTTAAAAAAAAGGGTAGGGGTTGGCTACAAGATATAAAGGGTTGGAAACACACATGGGAGAAGGGAATCAGAGGACTAAACAGCCAACAGATGGACAGAAGAAATCATTACAGGAACACCGAAGGTGCAGGATCCGAACAGGAAACTGCAGTGAGTGCATCATTTAGGAAGTGCTTTGCTGCATTATCCACATTGCCCCTAAAATATTGCAAACTGCAACTCTGACACACTTTTTGAATGAGTCTCCTCTTTGCAGCATTTGACTCAGTGTGACACAAACAGAGAAAGGAAGAAGGAAGGGAGAAAAAAAAAAAAAAAAAACACAGTTTGGGGTGATCCCTATCACTGCCAAATGTGTTAATGAATGGACCTACTGGTCAGCCCCCCCTCCACATACACACGCATGGACAAACACGTCTGGACCTGCCGTGTGCCAGACCGGATGGTGCTGTAAGTGTGCCTGCCAACTGCTAACAGCTCTCCAAGAGTGGCTCTCACTCACACACACACACACATGGTGGCCGAAGCCAACTGCTCACACACATGCCCAAACATTCGACACATTCAAACGCAGGCAGGCACACACACCTCAAATTTCTGCCGTAGCTCCTCATTGCCCTCCTCTCCCTCCGGAGCCACAGGAACATTGAAGTATTCGCCTTCTTCCTGAGAAAGGAGCTTAAACCTGAAATGAAGAGATTTTAACAGCTAAATATTTGATGGCCACGACTGAAAACACACAAATAACTGTGAAATTAAAGGAATAACAGTATAATTTAGCCCATAACAAATTAAATTGCTCCAACTACATCACAAACCACAAAGCAGACCACCAGCACATGGCTTTAATCTAACATAAATCGGTTTATTGACACAGATTTACCCTTCAGCAACCTGAAATCAGATAAATGTTCCCTGCGGTGACAGATGATGCCTGTTCTTTTGTAGCTAAAGTATCTAAGAGCCCAATGAAATGCTAAATATTAAACCTAACTCCTAGTTAAAGAGGTATCTAAAGCTAGCATTTATATTACAACAGTAAAAAATCCAAACATAGGGTCTTTTTCAATTTATTTCTCTTAGTCTGCGTCTGTCCTGTTCGTGTTATGCCAGAAAGTATTTAGGACTGTACTGAGGTGGATTAGGTAAAACCTGCATTTTAAAAGGCAAACTCTGAATATCAGGTGTACCAAGACATCCTCCCACCTCAAAAGCTGGCATCTCATTAAAAACCCTGACAGAGCAGTGTCAGCAAAAAAAAAAGAGGAAGATTTAGAGAGATAGTGATTGGGCTGCAGACACACAGGGAGGGAAGTAGAAGTGTGAGCGAGGGTGGAGGGGAGATAAAGAAGCAGAGATAAAAAGATGGGGGAAGAGCAGCTCTGGCACTGAATATAACCAGATTAGGGAGAGGAGCTCCAAATAAAGTTTGTGCTCCTAGGCTACAGTAATGAACAAGGTCACCTTTACTCTCCTTCCTGCTCCTCCTCGGTCTCCAACTCAAGTCTTTCCATTCTCTACTCCATTTGTTCAGATTTCTCTTACCAGCCATCCACCCCTTGTTTCTGAAGCTCTGAAATGCCAAAGGACAGCGATCCCATAAAGTCGTTGCGGCTGGTCAGGTCCCAGTCCCACACCTCCACCGACAGGCGGCGGTCCTTATCATACTCCTTCAGGTGGCTGGAAGAGACATGAGGGGAAATCTGTGAGTCCAGAAATCGCCTTTTACAACAAGTGCCATCCTAATAAACCTGTTTGAAAGGTATCACCATCTTGACAGACATTTTAAAACATTATTTTGTTTGGTGTATATGTCAAAGACAACAAGAGAGGCAGAGTTTTTTGTTGTATTTTGGTTAATTTTCAGTCAACTGAGACATTAGCTATGTTTATACAAATTGAAGGCCTGATCTGATCAAAAATGTTTCTTTTACACCCGTCAGACTGAAGATTTTAAAACGATTCTTTGTAATTGGAAAAAAATGTCACTCCCAAAGGCGTTCCCATCGGGGTCCATGTACACAACAAGCCGGACCTTTGGAGTCAAATATTATCCACTGCGCATCTGTGCAACGTCAGTGTGATCCTTTTTTTTGCCACTTTTCCAGAAAATTTGAGAGCTTCGTATATGCTTAAATGATTTAATCTGATCTAAATCTTGGTTCTTCTTTGCACACAATATTATCGAATAATTTTATTTAGTGTCCATGTAAACAGAGATTTAGAATTTTTCGATTAACCAAGTTTAGATCGGATCAGTGAAACTTTGCGCTCGTAAACGTAAATGTAAGCAAGTGAGACTCCTTCACACCTGATTGAGATTTGTAGTGATGTGGGAAAAAAATAGAATGTCAATTAAATGTTACATTTTGTAATAAAAAAAAAAAAAATGCTCACATGTGTTAGTTATTTTAACATGTTACAGTAAAACATCCCAAACCATGACTCTTACACCAACATGCTTTAGAGCTTATATGAGTTTCTTTTGTTAAGGTGATTATCATCTAAATTAGAAATTAGAAACGGCTTTGAAAGAATGTGACATGAATCATTAATGGATAAAAACTTGTACTCTGGGAAGAAAGACAGACAACACAGGGAGCCGAGTCAATTATGAAATATATATGAACAAAACATCAAAAAGTTAATGCTAAAAAAAAAAAAAATGAAGTAAGCCAAACACAGAAACAACACAGGGGGTGAAAAGAATTGGAGCAAAAGAAGACAAACACTATCTAGAGGGAATGAAAAAACTGATTTCAACATATTTACAGTTTTAGAGATCCTGATAGATTGTCCCTGTTAGATCTACGTCACAGGTCATTTCTTTACAGAAACACTGTATAGTTTAAACTAAAGTGCCTCTAACAGCAGCCTAAGCACCATGAGTTAGAGTTGTGCCACAGTTTAAGAATCTTGGTCCAACATAACTGTTTTATGTTTATGTTTAACCACAATTAATACAGGATCAAGCCCATTAAAGTGCAATGTTACTCTATCTTACATTTTTGTGACTAGAACGATGCAAAACGCTCCTGAATGCCTGAACATCTGCAAAGAAATGCCTGCAGTTATCAATCTTTTCTTCTCCTGCACTAATCATCATGAGGGTTATTAAAGATGCAGCAGCAGCAAAACAACCCCAAGAGCAAGATTTTATAAAATACAGGAAGCCAGATGTTTTCTTCTGAGTCCTGGCCATCACACATGCATAGGAGAAGAAAAAAATGGGAAAACGGTGAAGGAAAAAAAAAAAAAAAGAGTACAGATTGACATATATTAAAGAATTGGGAATGTTTTAAACATCCTTACAATTTGAAGGTCTCATTCCATACGGGGTTTAGGTTACACTTCATAGTCTTGGTCTTCTGTTTGCTCTCACTGCGTGGGTCTGGGACCAACTTCAGCTTCACGTAGGGGTCTGACAGACCATTGGGGTCCATAGGAATCAGATTCCTGGCCTGTTTAACTGAAAGAAGGAAAAGAAAAGAAGAAATAGCAGGTCAAAGTCTGCAATATTTTTATGTTTATATTATAAAAAAAGCTAAATAAATCTTTAAGCAGGACACTAGCCCTCTTGTGGTGGCTTAATGATACAGCATCAAAAGTTATAAAACCATTTATTGAAAAAAAAAAAAGAAAGCTGTCAGTGCTAACTGGACTGAAACAGAAAACTTAAAATGAGACCGGAAGTTACAAAATAATATCAGGTTTTCGCTATTAAACTTAGATTGCTGAGAAATGTATATGACTGTAACTGTAATGTAATGTAGGTAACTGTATTTTTACAGTTACCTACATTACATTAGATTACATTACCTACATTTATAGTGTTTATAGTTAACAGATGCAGACCAGATGATAGAAAAGTGTTGTCTACATTGTATTTATATTTTAAATTAGCTGTACAGTGTAAACTCAAATAAAAAACAAAACACTTTGATACATAAAAAGCACAGACACCATACAACATAAATAATTATAGGTTGTATATCATTGAATGAAGATTACACAATTAAAACAGTTTTTGGAGGCGGTTCAGTAATAAAACAATCCTAAATTTCTGAATTATTGAGAATTAAAAGCAGTTTTCTTGAAATTGCAATCTGACATAATTTATAACAAGCAGAGGATTAAAGTCATAACCCTTGACATGGTTGCCAGATCGGACCATAATGGCCATATACTGTAGGTGTCCAGCTTCCACACTAATCCCTTCTTTGAGGCAGCTTGTGATTGGAAGGCATTTGTACGCCGTTGGTGTTAATTCCCCCGTGTTTTTCTAATAATTGCCGTAGGATGAAGTTGCAAGTTCACATCAATTACCACAAGAAATGCTGAGTCATGGGCCATGCAAGGCTAGCACTCATGAAAACACTTTTTTCCAGCCCCAATCCACAGTTTGAAAGAGAGAAAAAAATTGTATGTTGTAAAATATGCACAAAAATGCAATGAAAACAGATAGTATGCATTCCTGTTTTTATAAACTGAAAAACTTTGCTAAAAAATCTGCACTGATATTTAATGCATAATATAAAACAACACCATGGCATAACCTAACAAGCTTCACCAAATTACCATTTGAATAATGAGAATGCAGTACCTGATCTTAGACACAACCAGTGCAACCATTCATGGCTTCATCAGGGGTGCAGCTTTACTACAGCTCAAATACTTACATTAGATTTCACTTCATGAAGAAAATATAGATAAGGTGATACAACATTCCCGAAAGTTTAGAAATGTAATTACTGCCTTGCCGAAAACAAGGAGAAAATAGACAAATGGGAGCAAAGGCCCTGAATAATTCCAGAGATACAGCTAGATGTATATCACACAGAATTTAAAGTAATAACCAACAGTGGCTATAATACCTGAACATGGCAAGAAGATGAAGCTGTTAACAGCAGCCCAGCAGTTTCTTGATGAGACAGATGGTCATAAACCATCAACTGGCTGCAAAAGGCACAACTTCATGGCAGCAGACACTTAGGTTTCAGCCCAATATTTAACACTGAAGAGTTTACTTTCTAGACTCCAAGAAAGTCAGCTCCAACTTGGTCAATGCTACATTCGACCCAAAGAGGCTGCAGGATTCTGTTCTGTGCATCAATGAAACATTACTTATCAGCAGAGGTTGTAAAAAGTAGTCACCCATAAAATTGCTCAAGTAAAATTAAAAGATATTTGGTTAGAAGTCCATTGAAGTACCGAGTAACTGTTGGATAATAAAATCAAATTTATTGTTTATAAATGTTGCTGGCAAACCGATTTTATGTGCAAGTTCTGGTATTTTAAAGACTCAAATGCCTAAAGAATACAAATAAATGTCATGATTACACAAGAAAGAAATTCCTACAGAAGAAATGCTTTTATCAATTTTTTTTTTCGCAACATAAAACTTCCTTACAATGAGAACTGTATATATGTTAGGAGAGGGTAACAAACTCCCACGGTTAATATCTACTGTTTACTGTATGTTTACCTGATTTTGGAATAGTTCAAATTACTCAGAGGACAGAGTAGTCTGATATTTTACTTAAGTAGGAGTTGCAATACTTTACAAGGAATATTATTCAAGAAAAAGTTCGTAGAACTAAATTTTTTAAAAATTGTTACTTGAGTAAATCGGAGTATAAATGTAACATTTTACTACCCACTCTGCTTATTGGGTCTACAAAGGGGGATTATTTCAGCATTAGTGGAACAGGAAAACAGTGCACTGTAAATATCAAAGGACGCCAAGGCTTGGTTAGTGCTAGAAGGCACTAGGATGGCCATAATATTTTCCTGCAGTGAACTCTAGGAAAGCAAAGTAAGTAAAGACAAGTTCATCTCTATAGCAAATGTCAGACATGCAAGACAATTTAGAGAGCTTTACATAATAGGAAAACACACAGGGAAAATATATATTGCAACAGAAAAGTTGGATTACATACCTCATTAGGTTTAAAGTCAAAAGCTAATCTTAACAAACGAGTTTTTAATCTTATGCAATATAGGGTTTCATAATATTTTCTGGCCTTTTTTTCATTAAGATTAATAAAGCATAAGAAATAAAAGCTAGTTCTCCATATTTGGTTCTGGGTCTGGGTCTGTAGGGTAGAGCTGAGCCAGAAGACCTGAGAGGCATGGAGGGCGATACAACGACGACAAGTCAGTAATCATTCAGTGATTTATAGACATACAGAAGAATTCCAAGCCTATTATCTAAGAGTTTTAGAGAGGACTATATTAAATATCTGGTTGGATTAGACACTGCAAAAATCTGGTGACTGGTTTTAAATAAAATGTTTTAGAAGGTTTTAACAACAAATGGACAGTCTATTAACTTAAATCTACACAATAATATATTTTAATAAAAATCTAAAGGGTCTGTTAAGTTGGCATGCAAGTGCTTTGAAGCAGGATGAAAAGGAGAGCTTCTCAGCTAACTCACAGAGTGAGAAAACCTCAAGAGATCAGTTAAATTGCTGCTGCCAAAGCATTACTCTCTGCTAACCTCCAATAGCTTAACCCCAAAGAAGACCCCCACATTAAACTCTCAGCAGAGCAGGTCAATAAATTTTAGATGATGCCGGTTAAAGTGACCATCAAATAGTGGTGGAGAGCTGTAAAGCGGGTAGAATACCAAGCAGTCCCAGAGGACACAGAGTAAACAGTCAAGATGCACGCAAATCCGTCACTGTGACTAAATGAATGTATCTGCCCGGGCGTGCATATCTATGGAATTTAAATGCAACTCTGTATTATTGCACATTATACGTTCTAAATAGAAACGACATATATAGGTCTGTTTATAGCTGTGGGGGCTGCACGAGAAGGAAGAAGAGCATTTATGAGGCCAGGAACAGTAGAATAGTTTATGTGTAAAGCAGCCTGGTTTGCTGGTAGAGCACCTTTTGCTTTGCAAAATAATTTCTAGAGTTTAAAACAGTTTCTGATCTGTCGAGTCTCATCTTTGGTGACAGATGTGTTGCAAAAATGTGACGACAAGTGTATGTTGTGGACGTCAATGTCCACATTGTACACAGACAAACATTGATCTGAAAGATTGTTGAATGACATCTTGGTAAAGTACATCACTACCAACATTTCCATCTCTAGTTTGATATAAAACCCATTTGATATGACCATGGAGCGCATTCAAGGGTGGCATACCACTATTCTTATATTCAATTTTCAAAGCAAAATGTTCCTTTGTGAAAATATAATAGCTTAAATAATTTACACAACAAACCTCTGAATCACATGTTTATTGACAAGAGCATTTTAAAACTGGTTAAATGTACCATGGATTTAAAGCTGATCAGTTTACTGCTAGACGCAAAACTAAATCTATTACAATAACTATATTAATAATAAAACTAATCAAAAATTTATTGTAGGGAAACATAAATTTTTATGACTTTTGGACACCTAAAATTCTAACCAAATATCAGTACATGAGATTAATAATAGGATTTAAGGGGATCCTTGAAAAACAATTTGGAAAACATAATTAGGGGCAAATAAAACCTACTTTTTAGGTAATATTCTGTACAAATTTTATCTAAATTTAGTGTCAATATAGGCAGGTTACAGCTGAGAAGAGATATTTATGGTACCAAATTTAGCTCAAAATATAAAACTTACTTTATTCACTACTAAGATAATTGCAAAGTTAAGTTTTGTTCTGAAAAATAAAAAACAGAAAAATAAATAGCACTTTTGATAACCGATTCTGATCATTGCTATTCTATTTAGCTAACTAAATAAAAGCATTTAAGTTTCAGTCCTTTCAGTGCGTAGATTGTGTAATATTTTCTGCAATCTCTGAATCTTTTTCATTTAGACTAAGAGAATAGTCACAAGTAACTTTACAAAGAGAAGTTTCTATCAACTCAAGAGTATCCAACAGTGTTCAGACATTCATAGGACGTATATTCTGTCGTGTTCAAGAAGACATCTTGTTTTTATGCTTTGTGTACGTGTGTAAAATTTATATTATTATATCATATTAAGTGGGATCGTGGTTTTCTGGACAGGCGCAGCACAGTCAATGCCGGTGCTTCCTGGAGGGATGGTTATCACTGTCCCACATTAAACAGTAGGTTTCGTTTGCCTTTTTACAGGGCAGGATTCATAAGGATTACTCAAACATGCATAAATCAAGCAAAATAGCATTTTAGGGATGAGTGCGATGAAGAAATAACTTTATAACATTGTTAGAAGCAAAAGAAAATGAAAGAAAATTTTGCATGATATAAGCCGTTAAAATTAGCTGATAGGGAAACCCCTTAAAGCCAGGGGCTTTTTGTGTTACTTTTAAATGGACTATACTGGGCCTCAGCAGTTCTAAACATCTCGCTTCTTATAGTGAATGGGGGAATCTACTGGACCACAACCATAAGGTGTCTTCAGACAGAAATCAGCAGTTAGTTGAAGACGTAATTAAAGGTAACAATAGATAAAACAATTATGGAACAG